GTCAGAAAACACCATTGATCAAAAATGGAAACAAGAATTAAATTTCACTAACCCATTCAATTCATTTCATTTTCGAAAAAAAATGTACAAGCAAATTTGGTTTTTTATTCAATTCTAAATCAATCAAAGAATCTTTTACACCATTTCGTGTAAATCTAAAAAGATGGATATCCGGAACAAAAAAATGAAAAATTCCGGATCTTACAAAACGTCTGGAATTTTTTTTAAAAAACATCGAAATTAATATATTTTTACACGCTTTTGAATTAAAATAAATTAGAAAATATAATTCACTTGGTAATTTTAATATTAAAAAAAAAATTATAAAACCGTAGAAACTATGGACGAAATCGCTTATATTTTTCAAAATCAATTTGGCTTACGTGTTGTTGTAATTTTTTCTATTATTCTTTTGAGTTACAACGACAACAATATCAAAACCCTTATACGACGAATAAATTATTACTTTTTTGGAATTCAATCATTCAAAAATAAGCCTTCTAATTTAAATGAAATCCCTTATTAATTTTTTGGTAACGATCATTCAAATGAAAACTCCTTTCAACAATAAACTTTTATGATAGATGTATTTTCCTTATTCGCAATCCATTTATTATTTATTGATTTTTGATAACGATCGAACGAACAATATTAAAAAAAAATGGAAATCCTATTTTACAATCTAAACAATAAACTAGATTTTGATTTTGGGGAAAAATGTATATATATATATAAACACGGTCAGTAACTTCACAAAAAACGCTATTATTAAGCTACCCTATCAAAAATGACAGATAATAGAATGGAAAATATACCCAAGCCCACGTATATAGATATAAGTTCGGATGGGTCTCTTACTGCGACTTTTAATTCAGGTATGAATTTTTATTTCTTTATCAGTTTGATACATCATTGAAATAATCGCTTAATTATTCATTCATCTTTATATATGATTAGAATCAGATATCCTTGAAATTTACGACTTAAACGTTAACAATACTACACCTCTTAACACTATACATGTTGGTATGAAAAACAATTTATCTGGGAAAATATATTATTCTTTGGCCATTTCCAATTATTATACAACTAGCAGCCAAGTAGATGAAAAAAATGCATACGTAGCCGTATCAAGTTTTTGCGAACCTACTCCTGTCAGGCCTCCTGTCGGGCCTCCTCTCAGGCCTTCTGTCACGAACGGTACAGATTTAGAGAATGGTATTCAAGAGAACGATAACCTGGAAGAAACGTTTGTTTTTAGAATTCTACAAGAAGGACAAGCAAGAAAAATCGAAACTACTGTAGATCGCGGAGGGGTTGTTAGATTTTTAAATAATGTTTTGTCAAAAAATGATGATAAATCGGACGGATCTATTAGTCTAATTGTAATGAACAAGTTTGGAATTACAAAAGTATTCATCAATCATAACAGTCCTTTGATCGCGGAAGAATATGAGTTGCCAACAACCATTCAAGTTAAAATTGAAAATTTATATAAAGAAAACCCTTGTACGAAATTTTTATATAACAAAGTTGAGAAAAATTTTTTATTTGTTGAAGATTATAGGAATCAAAGACTTGAATTGTATAATTTACAATCCTTGGATTTAGAATTGATCTGCCATAAACGTGATGAATTATCTGATTTAACGCAAGCGCGTGGAAATTCCATGTTTTCCATTTCAAAAAATGGTCTCTTATTAGCATACTGTAATGGTACAAAGAGTATTGCGATTCATTTAATGGAAAATGGACTTGAGATTACAACGCATGAATTTACTGACGCAAACAAAATCCTTTTTATTTCATTTACTGAAGATGATGAAAAATTATTCATTGTCACTCAAATTGAATCATCCGTATATAGTGAAAATGAAAATATTACATTCACCATAAAAATATATATTTGGGATCTTTTTACTTCAAAAATTATTGATGTAAATGATGATCAAATAATCAACATTTTTAGTTCCCTACAAAGGGATAATAATCACTCAATAGCTTGTTCAAGTGGTATACTCGCATATTCAGAGAGAGAGAAAGAGGGAGAGAAGGATGGGAATAACTGTTCAGTCCTCAAATTGTCGGACGTTAAATTAATTCCTACTATTAAATCACAAGAACTTCTCCCAATTCTTATTAATCAAGCTCAAGAAAATTCTCACACAATCTTTAATCTAAAAGGAAAAAGGCTAGAAATGTTGGATGCTAAGAAATCAGTATTGGTCGTTAACAATAAAGAGCCTTGGAATCATAATAAGAAACTTAAACGCATTTCTTCTTATCTTGATGAAAATGAAAAAATTCAAATTATAATTGGAAAAACAACAGTACAAGTTTGGAAGATAAATGGTGATGAAAAAAAAAGTAAACAAGATAAACGAATTTTGGAATATATTTGGGTGAATAAAAGCAATGAAGAAATTAAAGTTGCTTCTTTAAATGTTGGAAAGGAAGAATTTACTTTAGATTTGTCATGGACGGTGCATGAAGAAAATAAGCATCATATTCATTGGCCAAATGAAACTCATGTTCTCAAAGACGCATGTGTTGCAATGGAGTATCTTTATGAAAGAAGAGACGAACCTGTAGGGATGAAACTGAAACATCTAACCATATACAAAGATTTGGTTGCAGGCACGGAAAGTCTTATTAAAAAATGCATCAAAGTAAATCCGGATTTATGGAGTTTAACTGAAATACGATATGATATTATGGCCAATATCATCCGTTCAAAGAATACAACGTTGATCCATCAGATTTTATTCGATTATAAAGTAACAGATGACAATAAAACGAGAGTTAGTCGTTATATACATATTCCTAGGGAAAAAAAATGGTCTATGATTAATAATTCTTCAGATGAACATAGTAGGAAAAGAGATTCAAAAATTTCTTCAAATGAAAAAAGTGATTCGATGCTTAATAATTCTTCAGATGACAATTGTGATCCGATAAATGATAGTGATTTGATACTTGCTATTAAAAGTTGTCGTCGCCATGTTGCTCGAATATTATTCAAATAATGCGGAAAAAGATACCGGTGAGTTAATTAATATTTTCACAAAGAAATCCGAAATTTATTACTAAAACAAAAAAATTTTTCCGTTACACAGGTTGGATGTATACATTGACAAATGCTCTTCCTTTGCTTAGCAAGCGTGACTTTGGTATTTAAATGAATATTTCCTCTCAAAGTAGTTTGCGTTGTTCATGCGTAATATTTTTATCTGATGATAATAATTTGCATCATTATAAATACAGAACCTTATTTAAAGGAGTTATTTTACAAACCGTGCTTTGGATCCAAAGAAGAACATGTAGATTCAATATTTGTGGATGAAAATAAATTGATCGATGGATATAAATCGGAAATTTGTGCATTAAATGTGAGACCACGACTTTTATTGAAGCCAAATAAGCTTTCATGGTGGAATAAATTTATGACGAATACAAAAGATACGAAAGACGGAACTATACAAGTAACGTTACGTGTTGTTCCATTGCCAAATTTTACAGTTTATCCCAATGAAACAGAAACAACACCTGCCATTTTAAAGATTCTGTTAAAATTTATCTTACTCATATTTTGGCCAAGAGGTTATGCTATTACTAAGGAAAAGGAATATAGCATTTTTTTACAACTTATAAGTAAAAAAGAAGGTGGACGGTTATATGAATTATATGATAATCCATCAATGGAAGCATGCATCGATTTTAAATGGGGGGCAACGAGGATTCATTTTTGGCGTCATTTTGCGTTATTCATAGCCTTTTCATTCATGTTTGCATTAGTTTCTGGAATAATCAAAGACTTTGATTTAGTAGGACAGTTAATGTATGGAATATTTTTTTATCTTGGATTTTATCTTTTAGCGACGGAAGTTGTACAATTTAAGCACGAGAAATTGAAAAGATATTTTAGCATATATAATTTACTTGATATTTTATCAATAATGCTTGCGATAGCTACGATGGTATTCACTTTTGTTAATGGCAGTTCAGAAGCAGAAGAAATCATTATTACGCAAGCGTTCGCGGTCTTATTTCTATGGCTCGAATTAGTAAGTATTACATTTGTTAAATTACTTTTTTTTTAATCATCAGTGATTTTAATTTCTGAATTTATTTCTCTAGATATTACTGACGCGATACTTTAAAAGTAAATATCCTTATTATATCATTTATTATATGATTAAAACTCGATTATTTATTATTATTTTTTTTTTTTAAAAAAAAAATTAAAGGCACTGCAACATATATTAGCATGATTTTAAACATTTTAAAATCGATTTGGCCATTCCTTGTTTTTATGGTAAGTTTTAATCATAACATTATAAGAGGAGCATGTTTATAATTTTTTTTATTAATTTTTTTAAAAAATGTGTAGTTAATGACGATCGTTGCTTTCGGTCACGCAATGGTATGAATCAGCCAATTTTTTTTTTTTTTTTGTTTTATTTGAGCTTTGTAAAAAGATCAAACTCATGATTTCCTTTACTTCTTTTTAAAAAATATTTCAAATATAATTAGCATATCTTATTAAGAAATCCTAGTCTGTTTAATGAGAAACCTGACGACGACACCTTTAATATTACATTATTAAATAATGAAAACGTGATCATTTCACAACAACTTAATGTTACAAAACCTTTCGACAATTATTATGGAAAACTTGTGTATTCTGTTATGGGAGTTTATTTTTGGATCCATGGTAGATGGGAACATATAGAGGAATGGGATTTTTGGCCCGTCTACGTGATCAGTATAGGTAGATACTTCACATATTGTATTTATATTATCACGTTAATCATTAAGTTGTTAAAACTTTTTTTTTTTTTTATTCTTTAGGAGCAAGTATTTTATTGGTCATTATCATGCAGAATTTGTTGATTGCATTTATGACGGGTGTTTATGAGGTTGCAAGACAAAATGGAAAATTAGCGGTGTTAGGTTATAGAGCTGATTTGATCGCTAATTATGAAACAGTAGAAAAACCAATGGGTAGTCATAGAGGGAATCCAAAATATATTTATTATGTCGGAAGTTCGGAATATCAGGAGGCATGGTTTGATAAAGCCAACAATTATAGGAATACTCATACATCTTTATTATTTGAAGATGTTAGTAGTAAAGTATTATCACTAGACGATAATTCGGATGATGATAAATTAATGAAAATGCAAGTCGATATGAAGTCATTGCAAGATGTTGTAACTGAAAAATTGATTTCTGTTGAAGAGAGTATTAAATTACTGGCATTAAAATTAAATGAAAAATGAATAATTGTATTTTCATATTTTTTTATTCTATGTATTATATTGTATATGATTTCATCATAATAATAATAATAAAAAAAAAGGTCACTATTATTTATTTTATACGATAAATGACGTTACGTTAGGCTTGTGCCAAAAGATTTAGAAAGAAAAAAGGCGTGAATGGAACAAGAATGCCAATAGCATTATTAGAGTAGCCGAGAATGCCATGAGACTTTATTACTAAAACTTTTATCTTAAAATTACTAATATAAATATAATGAATCAACACCACCAAATACATAAAAATTAAGCGGTCACGTGATAACAATCTTTAAAATGCACGCAGCGAATTCTGGAAATTATCTAAAGTCCGAAACTTTTCACATTTTGGGCGATTCATTCACTTTTCACAGGTCATAGGAATATACCAACTGAAGCGCAGCTTGCCGAAAGTAAATAAATTAGAATTAAATTCAACATTTCATTGGAAAAAAATAATAATAATAATAATAAAAGGACAATTAATCGTGTAACGATTCCAAAGGAACTGTATATATACAACAAATTGATTGATTTAGAATAATGATGGACGAATATCGTAAATCTACGTTTTAATTGTCTTTTTTTTGCACATCACTATGTGGGAGTGTTTCTAGGAAAATCAGGTTCCTTAATACATTTTAATCTAATAACATCAAAAACTAAAATGCAATAAAAATCTCAATTTTGCTAAAAAATTCCCGGAA